AAAAACACTCACCATGTGCTTGTTTATTGTAAAATTGGTTAATTTTACATATTTTGAGGAAAATTATGGATTCTGATGTATTTGCAATTATGGCAGCGGAGTAAGAGCGCGCTATGGGAATGATTTCACAAAGATATGCGGAGCTGTCGGGCTTAGTAACCATGGGTGCATCTATGTCAGCTTCTGGTTGAATTGTTGAACCACAAGCCAGAACTACACCTATGCCTGAAGCTCTGGTTCTCAATCCACTTAATGCAATAACAGCTTCTTCCAAGCTATTGAAAACATGCACTTTGTTAGGTCCACCACCTGTTGCGCTTGCCTCTGCCTTCGTCCGCGCTTAGGGATTATAACCCTTACTAAGTAGAATTCTCCTCTCTGTGTTGCGGGGAAGAGGGGCTTCCGCATGTCAAAGGTATACAACATTTCTTGTGCATATCACTCCGGCTACGCCGTCCATAGTATTTTTGCGCAGAACCCACGTCGAAATTGCAAAAAAGTGCATAGTGCAAACACTAATAGTTGAAACATTTATCCTAAATAAAATGTGAATCCTTCACATTACACGTGTATGTTAAAGTTTTTGTATTCAGGTTATGCATTTGGACACAACAACCGAAAATCATTGTACAGATAACTAAACCGGACCCAAGTTTATCGATAAGGGGCTCGTTTATATAAAGCAGTGGATAAAAATATACGTATGTATATGCGAAAGGCAAATTTATCTGTTTAAATGAGCACCACCAATATTTCTTGCAAACACACATCGATATGCATCTTTTATTTCTCCTCCGACACAGAATTGTTTTCGTACAAAATTACGCAAAAAAGCTTACTCGTTAACCTCCTCCTTTTTTGGAAGTCGGTTAAAAAAAATATCAATCATATACCTAATAGTTTTTGTACTTTTCAAAAGTTTTATTTGCAACATAATGGCCCTTATCGTCCGAATTTTTTTAATCCGCCCGTAGTGAATACACGGAAACGAAAATTGAATAAAACTCGTGGTAAGGCTGATTTTCTCCGAACCGCTTCACTTTTCACTTGTTTCCGTGTATTTACTATGGGTGGATAAAAAATTTTCGGGTGAAATTTTTTTCGAGCAAAACTCAGGATAAGGCTGAATTGAACTCATAAAAAGCTGAACGATGACATTATTACCTTTTCAAAAGCGAAATAAAGTCAACAAAAATTTGGAAATAAAGTCATTGACGCTATTTCCATTTGAATAAGGAAAGTATGTCGATTCGTAGAAAAAAATGTTGTTCTTACAATAAACATCGCCCCGTAAGTGTTGTTTTTTAATAGATGAAGAAGGTTATTGCCAAATCCTCAGCGTTGTGATATTAATCCACACACAATCATGAACTACCACCAATTGATTTTATTAAAAAAATTTAAATTACGAATATGTAAAAACACGATGCGAAAAACTTAACGCCAGCGCACAGCTGGAAAACGAGAAATATTTGAAGAAAGAGTGTAGAAATGATCCCTAACTTGCAAAACATGTTTTGTTTCCACAAAAATAAAGCGAACACTATTAAATTGAAGAAACAGTCCATGTCCAAAAACTCCGGAGGAACACCGAAAGAACTCTAAGTTTTAAATTAGCATATTTTGAACGAATTCAAAATGTCTAAGGTGGAAAAGAATCCAACCTTTCTATAAAGAAACAATTATAGAAAAAGAATTTTCTTACACTGTATTCATGTCACCGCCAGAAATTTGTGACGACATCATTTAAAAGCGGCTAAGGAGAATGACGACACTATTTATTAGGTGATTCCACGAGCCAATGTGCCAAAATGGGGGTATAAACAACTGTTGATTATTTAATATCGGAACCGAGATCATATAAGTTAATTGATTGGTTTTCACACACTTTTGGAGCACAAATTATATGCTTTTTTACTGCAGACAAGTTGTTGCCCCCAAACCAGGGTTCGTATTTGCACACACATGCTCTGCTCACACACACGCCAGAAACACATTCAACTTGTACTCACTGCTCATACACATGTGTGTGCATAAGTGGAAAACAAACTCTGCTCACAGAAAAGTGTGTGCTGTTTGTTATTAAGCACATGCACATGTGTGTGAGCCGATTTTTGTACAAATTTCAGCCCATGCACATGCACATAATATATTTTTAAAAGAATTTGTTTATTAAACGTTATTTTTTGAAAGACAATTCAATAAAAAGTGAGATGTTGTTTGTTTTTTATATGACAGAAAATATATTAAAAAATTATTTTAAGATTTGAGTTAGAAATCGAAGTGTATAAGTTTCTCTACGCAAAGTACACACATGTGCCCGTGCTTTTTACCAAACGGCACACACATGTGATGTGAGCAAGTTTTTAATTTTTTATATGCACAGCACACGTGTGTGAGCGTAAAATGTTAGGATGTGCTGCGCATGTGTGTGCAAATACGAACCCCATGGTACAATAAAAACAGGTAGAAGCCAAATTGACATTCAAACCTACAAAAGTCAAAGTTTTCGGGAGAGTAAAAATAAAAATGAGCGTGTGTAAGGAAAAATAAAAAATTACATTTCACTGGTTGACGTTTTTAAGTAAATTTGAAGTTTAATTTTATTTATTTATTTTCTCTAGTTAAAATTTGTTAATTCGTTTGTTGTTTTCTGTCTTTGAATTATGAGTTGCAGTGTTGTTGGAAGGACTTTCCGGCATAAGGGTCATAGGAAGAGCACTTGGCATCAAACGTGCCTTTCCTGTACCTCCTGGTGCATTTATAAAATCTGCTGCTTTAAAATGCTTAACGCACAGCAAGGCATTTCGCTGCAGCTCTACCCCACAGCTGCTTTCCCAACGCTCCTTACGCTGAGGGCATTGAGGCACGTTAAAAAAATTTGTGATGTCTGCATTATATTTAACACCACATAAAAAACAACGCTTCAGGTGCTGCATTTTTAACACATACACTAAGTATAAACCGCACAACACTACAAAAATGCAAATGTTAATTAAAATTTGTTTTAACGAACATTCAAAAAAAACAAACATGACATTTTAAGCGTAACGAAATATAGGATATAAAATAAAATCAAGTTGAAGTTTAAAGGTTGGTTCTCATGAGAGCAACGTCATTTTGGCTTCTACCTGTATTTATGTGCCTTGTACGAACCCTGCCCAAAACACAGCAGAAATCAGGGCTGCCAACTATCCTTAGTTATGAGGTGCCATATTGAGGATAAAAAAGTGCAAAATAGAAAAATAAAAGTGCCAAAAAAGGTGTAATTCTTTTTAATCATTCACATTTAGCAATAAAATAAAGCTACATTTTCCAAAGTGCAATGTTAAAATAAGATAAACCAGTTGAATAGCCTTTATAAATTAGAAAATTTTAGTTGAGAAAAAGAAGTGCACGCAAAGGATTTCACAAAAATGTATTGAAATGTTATTTTTTTTTACAAAAGTGCCGTTTTGGCACTTTGTGCCAAATTGAAAAATTAAGTGCCATTTGAAGTAAAATAGGGACAAATGGCACGGTTTGAGCCAAGTTGGCATCCCTGCTTCCAATAACTTACAAATATAAAAATGTGAAATATCGAGGGCTTGAATTCATTAATACCCTCTATCTGCAATTTGCACAAAAACTAATTTGTGATTTTAGAAACCATCTGGGACTTATTACCTGTCGTTATATAAGGTAANTATTTCAACGTATACAAAAAATAAATCTACCTGCGTTACAGCAGGGCGGGAGACTGGGAAGGGGTGGCCGGGGGGCCGCGGCGTAGCGTGACGTGGTGTGCTCGCCGTTCGCGCGTCGTACGCGGGGCGCGAGCGCGGCGATCGCGGCGTGGCGCGCAAACGCGGGCCGCCGAGAAGCTAAGCAAATTTAATGTTTGAAAGAGAAATAATGTCAATGGATTTTATTTCGTTTTTAAAAAGGTACCCTGGTGCGAAATAAAGTCAATTGACCTTATTTCCGTTGATCTTATTACCTGTCACCATATATGTACATACATACCTATGTAAATAGTTGTGAGGGAAACCTGAGTGGTAGTTTTGAGGGTTTTGTCGCGAGGTTGCTGCTAAGTTTTTAGTCTTGATTTATTTGTTAGTGGACATTTAGATATGTACATATGTATGTATAAATGTATTTATTCAAAAGGAATAACTTATTTGTTACGTTCAAAAAGTACAGGAAAAGGTTTCTCTTTGGATGCCTGGAGCCAATTGTCTTCCGAATATTTTACGTTATTCTCGGTCTCAATGACATGGAAAGTGTAAGCATGGCGGCTTTTCTGCGACCGATTTGGTTCACTCTTATGCACTACATTGCCATGAATAATGATGCAGGTACCTAAGAAAAGACAAATTTTAAGACAAATCTATATAAACATAACATTAGTGTTTTACCTTTGCCCACGATCAAGGGTGTGTAATTTGATTGAGGGTAAATCGGTGCAGGACGATCGTAAACTAGTAGTTGTTGAGCGTCCTTATCCGGATTGCGCATATATCGACGATGAACTCCGCTCTTATGTGAACCTTTGATTGCATGCAAACAACCATTTTCTAGTGTACAATTTTCAAGCGCAAACCAAAAACCAATAACAGAGTTCGGCTCTGTGTGCAAAAACCAGGAGTCCTGATGTGGAATAACTTCGCCGCCTATGCCTGGATTCTTATAGATGTACATGCTCTGGCACACAGCTGGTTTATTGAAGTTCAACTGCCAGCAAACTTCCTTAACACGACTACTGAAGGTTAATTTTTTGAAGACCGGGTGGTCAACGTGCAAGGAATGTCCCACTTTGTTCAGGGCGATCATAGGATCGACAACTAATTCGCCATTCTCATTTATGGCACCTTCTTCGAAGAAAAACCGAATTTTGTCGCCAGAATCAAGAAAGTATGTATCTTTGCTATGTGCATTATTTTGGTTAACTGTGCTAAAAATTTTGCGGTTTGCTCGTGGTGCATCTATGCAGAGGTCACGTCCAGCCGAGTAGAGTTCTTCGACCTCTGCTGGCGTGAGAAAATCTTCAATGATAATGTAGCCATTTTGGTTCAGCTAAAAACAATAGTAACTTGTTAATTAGATTCTTATTGTTGAAAAAAAATGTGTTAAAGCCTTAAGTTAGGTGTTAGCTAGAGTTTTTACAATTTTTTATTCTGACCAGTTTTGGCTATACAGTAGAAGTCAAGGCGAATTAATATAAGGTGATAGCAGGAGTACAAAAACAAATATTTACATGTATTTTGTTTTTGCTTTGGCGGCATAAACTGTCAAAATCTGTAAGAGTGTGTGTAGAAATTCAAACAAAATTTTTCAATTTGATATCAGAAGCCGTGCGGCGAAACACATACACAAAATCAGCTGAGCTAGTAACACCACCTTATATAAATTCGCCTTGGTAGAAGTATTAACTTTTCTAAGCGGTTTCAAAATTTAAAAAATGTAATAATAACAGAGTTTTTAGGAAATAACGTGCTAAATTTATTTCAATGACTTATAGCGTTTTCTTTTCTCGAAAAAAGGCTGCACTCATTCTGGCTTGTGTTAGCGCTGTCACATTTTCATGTTCTTTACTCAGCCCTTTCACAAGGCGTAGTGTTCTTTTCTCAGCAGGTTGCGCTCTGATCCGGCGAAAGTGCTGCCTTTCTGCCCTCAAATAAACGTGAGGGTGAGAGTTGCATGGTTGATTTTTAATTTGATCTTGTAAAAATGCAATTATTTTCCTTATCAGAAATAAGTGTTTTGCTTTAAAATTGTTAAAGACTTAAAGGCCAAGTGAATAATTCAGCTTTATTAAGTTCTATAAATAAATTGTGATGGAGTAGTATATTTTCTGTTTCATTCTCATATAAAGAACGCAACATTTTCAGGGCAACGCAAAGCAAGAGTTCCCATATAAAAGGGCAGAACTTTTTTTGAGAAAAGAAAACGCTATTAGTTTTCATCATTACGAAAAACAAACATAAGCGGTACTCACTTTCCGTAGCATTTTAGGTGTAAGTCCCCTTTCAGACACGTCAAGTCTTGAAAGCAATTTTTTTCGCATTCTCTTTTGTGTTTTCTATTTGCTTTCACACGCGTCAACTTTAATTGAAGTCAAGTCCTTGGTTCTTTAAATGGGAAGCAACGAAAAGATCAAAAGAGACAAGAAAACTTGAAACGAATTGACGGTACGGAGGTATCTGTACTCTTCCCCTCTCTTCTCACCTCCTTCGCCTACGAACGAGCAGACTTGAAAGCAAGACTTGACGTGTCTGAAAGGGGACTAAAGTTGCTACGTAGCAATCTAGCACGCATTAGGTTGTTGGAAGAGCAACAAAACATGTGGTAGATTGCTACGAAGCAACTTTACACCTAAGATGCTACTCAACGTGAGCTCCCCTATAGATTTAACTTGTACCAGTGCTGCCGCTGTCACTTCAGTTGAAGTTTTTCACTTCACTTTGGAAGCCTTCATATCATCACTTCATTTTACTTCGTCTTACTTTATTTTCCACAAATTAGATTTATCTCCAAAATAAATAAAAATTTCTTTTAAATATATGATTTATTTCACCAAAATTCTTGTTAAGTAGAAGGTATGGCAAAGTAACTTTTCGCCTCATAAATCTCCGATCTGGCATCGGTTATTCATTATACATTTTATTCCTTAGAAACCATCGATGACTATCGATAATTTTCGATAGTTTTTTAAACTTATAATTTGGCTTTATATTGCGCCTGGCATATTTTCAAAAAATATTTCTTACAAAATGTGTAAATCGCAAGGTTAGGGTGAAGTAGGTCCAGTTTTACAAATTTTAAAGGATACATTTGTCAAAATTTGTATTAAAATATTTTGTGTGATTAAAGCTGAGCAAAACTTCATACGAATCAGGAGGAGTCGTTGCTCATTAAAATAATTCGAATTTTTAGAGCTATTTATTTCACTCAATATCAGTTATTTTACTTTATTCAATACTAGCAAATTCCCGCTTGCTTCGCGGCGCCTAATAACAAATTTTGCAAGCAAAAACCGTATGTAAAGTAAAAAAGTTTTAACAACTAAATAGCAGTAACCTCCTCTTACATATGCCAAAAATAGTAGCGCTTTGATGCCATATGGAATACTAATTCCTCTCGATGTCATGAATTTTGCCGATGGTCTTATTTCCACCAGTGAAATCTTTGCCAAGCGTGCATAATCTTTTTTGATCTTGAAACTACAACATGCGGAAGCCAATATAAGTCCTTATAAGAAAAGGTAAGAGCACAGATGAGCGCTTTCTGTTATAAGAGGGCCAAGGATCCTCGCTGCCGCACAGGATGAAAAGTTTTCCCGTACATTGGCTAAATGTGATCTCTTGAATATCATTCAAATGAAGCCATTGATATACCAACCGTCATGAATTTTGGAGAAGCTCCGACACTAATATCGGGGGTGAGTCCATTTTTGATTTTATTCTTTCCACTAACCTAATCGTATGTAACATGGGTAATCAGCCAACGTTCCGTGGTCACCGACTCAGCTACAGCGAGGACAAATAAGTGGAGGGTATCGGACACGTGTGCCTTTTCGGATCACAACAGGATACTCTTCACGATAGATTCTGAGGTAGCAGTATCACGACCTTTTAGGAATCCGAAAAAGGCGGATTGGAAAACTTTCTCTGAATTAGCTTCCACCACACTAAGCTTGATGAAAACCGAAGTTAGACGGGGGAATGCTAATATTTATAAGGCAGTTAATCGTCTAAACGCGATCCTGACCAAGTGCTTCGGGCAGAGTTGTTCTATATCTCAGCCACGATCAACGCCCAAGCCGGTATGGTGGAGGGAGGAACAGGGTCAACTCAGATTGATAACACGAAAGCTCTTCAACAAGGCTAAACGCAGCCGACGTGAGGAAGACTAGAACAAATATGGCTCTTGAACGACTTCCAGCCAGGAAGCTCTTGAATGTTAAATAGAGACCCACTTTCCGGGCAACACGGACCAAATTGTCAGTAATCATGTGACAAATCGGCCTCGTGCACCTTTAGAAGAGTTTTCAGATTTTGTGAACAATGAGAACGTAGCTTGGGCCATCAAATCTTTCGATCCGTTCAAAGCAAGCGTACCGGATGGCGCAATTTCCGCTATGCTACAATACTCATGTTGGAGTCTGGTGCCCCATTTCACAAGCATTTTCGCAAGATGCTTAGAAAGCGGATATGTACCGAAAGTATGGAGGGAAGTGAAGGTTATATTCATCCGCAAAGCAGGGAAGATATACCACTCACAGCCAAAGGACTTCAGACCGAGAAGTCTTTCATCGTTCGTACTAAAAACACTGGTGAGAATAATCGATCTACCTATTAGGGAAAGTATTAGTATCCAAACAATTATCACAGCCCAACACGCATATCGCATGGATAGATCTGTTGAAAGCGCGCACTATTGAAAAAATGCTGGTACTTAAAGAATACACCCTCTGACGCCTTTCTGGATATTGAAGGGGCTCCAATAATGTCCAAACGGAGGCGATAAGTAAGGCACCCTCTAAGCACGGTATTCAGCGGTCTATGGTGGCATGGATTGACTCCATGCTCGAGAGCAGAATAATCAACGTCACCATAGGCACAGGATCTGTGAGAAGGAAAACCATCAGGGGCACGTCTCAAGGGGGTTTACTATCCCCTCTCCTCTGGCTCCTGGTGTTGAAAGAAATTCTTGAGATTTTTAAAACCAAGAGAATAACTGGCAAATTCCCGTCAACGATAAGTGAACTAATGGAGAGTGCACTAGGTGATATCTCTAAGTGGGCCAATCAGAATTGATTAGGGGCAGTGGCGTAGCCAGGGGGGGCGGATTTGGGGGTGATAGATCCCCCCTTCGTCAGTGAAATGAAACTTTTTATTTTTGAATTAATAACACAATACTATTTTACCCTTCCGATTTATAATATTTTATTTCAGACTGATGACAAATTATCTTGTAATGAATATATAAAATTATCGGTTGGTGGATTATGTATTTGAATATTTGTTTTGTGAAATACACTAGGCCATTTTGCTTAGTTCCCCACAGTGTTGGGAAATAATCTATAATCTATACAATAACTGTACTTTTCGACTGTAACTAAAACTTGACATTTCAAGTGCTTATCAAAACTTTATACATGTTAACTAGATTGGCCATTTATCTTAAAATTATATAATTTTAATTGTTTGTTTATAAAAGTGCAGTTTACACTTTAACAAAACCCGTATAAATCCAAGGTCCAAACTTTCGTAAAGCTTTTTAATTAGATTTCCTATAAATACATATTTTGAGTATGCAGTTTTGTAGCCCGATCAATTCAAATAAAGAGCAAGTTTAAAATACATAGCTGGGGCTTATCGTTGATTTTTAATATATATTTTTTTTAATAAACGCGTTGCTCATTTTCTTCATTAAAAAAATCGTCAAACATACTTAGATAATATGGAAGAAAATTACCGACATCGTCAAAAATATGCCATACATCAACTGCAAATCACAGCTACTTTAAATTTGCACTTTATTAGACTAAAATTTAAGGAGCTAAAAAACTACAAAATATTAAGAGATCAAATTGAAATAGAAAGTTTGTCGATTTTTTTTTTAATGTTGTTCAAAGATAAAACTTAATTTCATTTAGTGTTTGTTAAGGAATAAACTATATTTTTATAAACAAATAATTCATATTAAAATATAGTAAAATAAATAGTCAAATCTACTCAATATGTGAGTGTCGTAAAGTTATGATATTTAAGAGCATCTCTATCTTAATTAACGATGACACTTTTTCTATATGAAGATGATTTCAACATTTTGTTTTAGTAAAATTTAGTATCGAAAATATTCTTTCAAAACTTGCCTAGGAATGTGATATAATGGTTCGTTCAAAACCTTTTTTCAAAACTTTTAAAGGCAAAAACGAGAAGGCGAAGACAAACAGAGAATAAAACAAGTATAAGTTCGGGCGAAACCGAACATTATATACCCGGCGCACATATTAAATATCGTTTTTTCACCTTTCAGTAAACTGCATGATAAGCAAGAGTATTTTTCCA